AAGATCTGGAGGAATATCTGGAACATTCTATGGAGGAGTATCTGGAGAAGATACGGGGGCAGATCTGGACGAAGGTCAGCGGAACGATCCAGAGCGAGATCAGACGGAAGATCTGGGGGAAATCTGAGGGAAGATCTGGGAAAAGACCTGGGACAAGATCTGGAGGAAGATCTTGAAACAAATCTGGGGGACATTCTGGGGAAGATCTGGAGGAAGATCTGGGGGGAGATCTGGAGACATATCTGAAGGAAGATCGGGAGGAAGATCTGGAGGAAGATCTGGGAGGAACGGGGTGGAGATCTGGAGGAAGATCTGGAGAGATATCCGAGGAAGGGCTGGAGAAATATCGGGGGAAGATCTAGACGAAGATGTGGGCGAAGATCTGGAGGAAGATCTGGACGAAGATCTGGAGGAAGATTTGATGGAAGATCTGGGGAATATTCTAAATAATATCTGCAGGAGGATGTGGAGGAAGATCTGGGGGGGGGCTACGGGCGCAGATCTGAAGGAAGATCGGGCATGATATCTGAAGAACATCTGGAGGATGATCTGCGGGTTGATCAGGGGGAAAATCTGGGGGAAGACCTGGATGTTTTGTAAGGTCTAGAAGAGGATCAAATTTGGGGAGCATCTGGAGGAAGATCAGGGCAAACATCTCCTTTCTCCTTTCTTCTGTCAGTTATCACGGGCCTCGTTTCTGGATTGGCTGGTGGGGATGCGCGAGGCGTCACGAATCTTCAATCGATCCCCAGATCGTCCCCCGAGATCTCCCCCTGAAGTCAAATCTTCCCTCAGATCTCCCCCGAGCTCTCCCCAGATCATCCCCCAGATCTTCACGTGCATCTTCCTCCAGATCTTCCCCCCCGATCTTCCCCCAGATCTTCCCAACGATCTTCCCCCAGATCTTCCCCTCGATCTTCACCAGCATAGCTTGCGCCACACAACTTGCACCATGTACCTCACACATCCAGCGTGTATGTTCCGGATCTCTGCTTCCCCTCGGGCTTCAGGTCGCAGTGAAACTCTGTCGTCCCGCCGTGCTGTCGCTTCCCCCCCTCCTCCCCGCAGTTGCAAGGATGGAGGCTGGCTCGTTTCCTGAAGCTCGGCTCTCGCTTGAGACTTCCTCAGGCTCTGTGGCCCGAAAGTCCAGGCTGTGCCACAGTCACGCGGACGGAGGGCAGCTCCTTCGGAACACTGAGCTCTCGCCTGAAATCCCCGCAGACTGCACGACCAGAGCAGGAGGGCGGAGCAGAAGGATGAAGGAGGAGGGTAAAGGAGGAGAGCGGAGGATGAGGAGGGTGAAGGAGGAGGGCGGAGGAGGGTGGAGGAGGGTGGAGGCGGGGGAGGGGGGAGCAGCCAGGAGCGCGAAAGCCTGAGGCAGAGCGTTCGCAGTCAGACCGACTATCACCTGGAGGGCTTCACCCGAACTCCCACGCGCTCCGCCAGAGCTTGCAACCGCTCGTTGTCGATCAGTTGCAGAGGCCGAAGGGGCCAAGAGCATCGTCTTGCGAGGTGCTCGAGAAGGTGCAGGGGGAGCAAGGAGGAGGAGGAGGAGGAGGAGAAGGAGGAGGAGGAGGAGAAGGAGGATGAGGAGGAGGAGGAGGAGGATGGAGGAGGATGGAGGAGGATGGAGGAGGATGGAGGAGGAGGAGGAGGACGATGGACGAGGAGGAGCAGGATGGAGGAAACCTCCCGCCTCCCCCATCCGCCTGCCCGCCCCCGCGCGCGCCCCTCCCCGACCTCGCGCGACCCCCCCGCGGCGAGGGCGGTTGGGGGGCGCCCGCCTGCCGCGCCTCGATCGCCCCGCTCTCGTCCGGCTGGGGCAGCGCAGGGCACCTGCGGGCGCGTGCGTGCGAGGAGGAGGAGGAGGAGGAGGAGGAGGGGGAGGAGGAGGGGAGGAATACCCCCGCGGCCCGAGGGCTCCGCGGCACCCCGATCGGCCCCACTTCGGGCGCTGATGTGCACGCCTGGCGTTCGCTCACGTCCTCCACTCGGGGAGTGACGTCGCGCCAACTTAAATGCTTTGATTGTAGCGTCCCTGCAGTACAGAGAGAACAACGGCTGTGGCGAGCCGACGTAGATTTTGGGGCAACGAATTAGCGAGGCCAGCGTTGAACATCGACGTACCAGGCAAGAGAGACACGCTAGGTACGAGGCCCGAAGGCTTGAAGTATACGCTGGCAGCGCGATGGTAAAGGCAGAGAAGGTGGGACCGAATCGAATAATGAGAACCAAGTAGGCGCAAGCGACGAGGCATCGAACGAGGGAGAGGACGAAATGCTCATGCTGCTGCTCCTCCTCCTCCGCCTTCCTCTTCCCCCTCCTGCGACGACGACGACAACGACGACGACAACGACGACGACGCACCGCACACACACACACACACGGACGGGCGCCCGCGCTGCAACCTTCACCCCCCCGGGTGGGCACCGCGCCCGGAGCAGCGCCCCGTGGCAGCGGATGCGCGCGCCCGCGTCCGCCAGCAGCGTGAGGTCGCAACCTGCCCTCCCCCTCCGCCCCTCCCCCGTGCCGCCCAGAGCGGAGTGATGAAAGTCCAGGGAGGGGGCACGATGTTCGGCGGCGAGCGAGGGGTGGAAATGAGAAGGAGAACGCCCCCTCAGAAGGCGGCAGGGCTTCTCAGAAGATCTCCGACCTTCTGAGAAGTTTTCTGTGTCTTCGGGGAGAGCTTGAGGCTTAGGCGCCTTCTCAAAAAGCCGGGGGACTTCAGAGTCTTCTGAGAAGCCCCCCCACATTCTCACTTTCCCCCCCGGGCTCGCCGCCGAGAGGAGGTAGTGCGGGGGCACGATATGGGACGCACACAGACACACTAAACCTGTGTGTCTTCCTTGGTGGCGTGCGTCCGGCCCGAGCATCTGGTACAACCATCTTGTAGTACATCGTCCCCAGAGCGGTATGGCCAGAAAGCGCCCGCTACACTATGAGATCTCTCGGCGCGCGATTCGCCCGTTTGGGGACCACGCGCACATGGTACAAGTATGGTGGGGTGACGCCAACGATAGGAGGTCTGAGGAGACCACAAAAGGACTCCTCCTCCTCCTCCTCCCCCTCCTCCTCCTCCTCCTCCTGTCTCTTCCCCCCCCTCCTCCTGTCCCCTACCTCCTTCCCCGCTCTCGCCCGCAACCGTCCACGTCGGCCCCGAGGCGCACACCGCCTCTCGGGAGGCCCCACTCCTGACGGGGATGAGGGGCGACGTCTCCCCCCGCGCCGCCCAGTGCGGGGGTGATGGGCGACCTGCGAGGAGCGGGAGGAGGTCTGACGGGGCCATCGCTCGGACGTCCATTCCCTGTGTTTTTTTCGGTTTCGTGCGTGGTTTTTCGCCAAATGATCAAGGATGCTCCTCGATGGTCCTCGCCGCAGGAAAAACGCACACGTCCGAGCGATGCCAAGTGAAGGGGCCTTGTGGCGGACGCTGGCATGGTGGTGGAGGGGTCTGGTGGTGGTGGACGGTGCTAATGGCGACCAGTACGTGCCCAACCTGGCCTCTTGTGCGGAAGGCCTCGCAGGATAATGGTGGAAGGCGCTTCGAGAGAGAGAGTGCACACCAGCGGGATCATGATGCCGGCCCTCCTTCCAGCGGATGCACGTGGACGTGCCGGTCCAGGGGGAGAGCGGCGCTCGCGGCGCCGCTCGCCAGCGATCTGCAGATTGACGCGGGTGCGCCCGAGCTACTCGACGGAGGTAGTGAGGGGAAACGATCGGGGGAAACTGCCTCCGACAGCGAGACCGCACGTTCCTGGGCGGGGTGGGATATCAGCCCCCTATCGGCGATCCATGGGCGATAGGGGGTCGATGCGTCCACCTCTGAGGTTCTTCCACCTGGCATTGCCCCTGACGGCCAGGCAAGACCAGTCGGCATCGAATCGGACAATTGGATCGAATCGTGGCGTGCGTCGGATCGGGCCGCATCGGCACGGAATCGGGATCGGACCAGATCGGCCGCGCCAAGACGCACAACAAATGCAACACGTCGGTCCGCATCGGACCTTCGGAATCTCAGAAACGAATCGGGTCGAGCCGGCCAGAAGCAACATCGAATCGGCCAGCTGCCAACGCCGAGCATCTGCGCCCCCATCGGCGGGCAGCAGAGAAGTCGTGGTTGACGCCAACGATGTCGTCGTGGTCCGATGAGGACGAGGAGGGTGAGCACACGGTGGCAGGAGGAGGAGGACAATGAGGATAATGACGAGGCATCAGAGCACAAAGTGGGAAGAGGGGGATGATAATGAGGGTGATGAGGAGGAAGCGTTGGAGTCGTGCTGCCCTTTGATGTCGCGCAGTAAATTCACAAAGCGTCGCACTTCGCTGCTCGTTTCGCTCGTGACCGAACGGATCGTGCTGCTACGACTCGGACAATCAAGCCTGACGATTCAAATGCCCATGTCCAAGCATGAAATTTAAGCTGCCCAAGCTTGAAGTCGGGATGACGACCAATCACACGGATGGGAACGATTCCAGTACGACATCCTGATAACGAGATGGTGGGCCATGTAATGACGAAGCGATGGTAAGTGCTGTGATATTCGATCAAGTGAGCCACTGTACGAGAAGCCCTACGTACACATGTGATGACCAATGTGAAGAAGGAACCATCCTTATGTTCGGCATTCTAAAATGAAACATCCTCATGTCAACGGTAGCCGCCCGAATTCAACAACTTTCCGTGGGACTCTGCAGGAGAGGTTCCCGCTCGAGACTTCCTTGGCAACGAATCGCAAAGGAGGCTCCCGCTCGAGACATCTCCGTGTTTCGGATAGCCGCCCGAATTCACCCCAATGGTGTTGCAAGGACTTCAGGGGCTTGGATTCGGAGCAGGTCGTAAGGGAATTTGGGTTGAGTCATCTTGTGTTTTTATCTTTGTTTGGATTGATTCAGCTGCCTCGTCTTGGCTCCGGCTCGAAGGTGGCGTGAGTTCAAGCAACGCGCAATCGTGCAATAATGCGGCGCGGCGGATGGCGGTGCCGTGCGCCTGAGGCCGTGAGGCCTGCTCCGATCGCATGGGGGCCGTGCATTCGTGCTCCCTTCTTCTCTTTGGCTCTGCACGGGGGCGTCCAGCTCGCGGCCGACTGAAGGCGCTGTCGCCTGGCGGCCTGTGCAGTGTCCTCCCGCCGGCGCGCATTCTTGCAGTGCCCTCTGGTCGATCGGGCGGCTGGCCACGCACTGTGCGTGCCCACGGGCAGTTACTGCATGGTCCCTTCTGTGCCCGTTGTCGCGTGCCTTGCTCTTCACCTGAACGTGTTAACGAACCTTGTGGGGAAGGCCCGCGTGGCCTGCCCTTACGCGGATCTGATGCGACCCACGCAGGCATCTACACAAGAGGCACGACTTCGGGACGATGGGGCCTGATTCTCTTTGTGGTACAAAGGCAACCGCGATATTGATTTCCCAGTGACGCTGCTAGGGACGAAGTGCAAGCCCGTGGCTGTGCAGAGCTGCGTTGCTCTACCCCCCCCGGCGTGTGCAGCGGCTGAAGGGCTGCCGACGTCGGAATGAGCCCTGCCAGTTGGCGGGCCGCGCAGTTGACGGTGACAGGCATGCGGGCACTAAATTTCGGGGGGGTGGGGCGGGAGCGGCAGGAGGGCGGAGGGATGGGGAAGGAAGAGGAGGAGGAGGAGGAGGAGGAGGAGGAGGAGGAGGAGGAGGAGGAGGAGGAGGAGGGAGGAGGAGGAGGAGGAGGAGGAAAAATTCGCTGGTAACCTCAACGTGGCTGGAAGAGGAGGACGAGGGAGGAGGATGAGAAGAATGATGATGAGGAGGAGGAGGCGGAGGAGGAGGAGGAGGAGACGGAAGAGGAGGAGGAGGAGGTGGAGGTTGAGGATGACGACGAAGAGGGAGGCGGAGGAGGAAGGAGGAGGAGGATGACGAAGGAGGAGGAGGAGCAGAGGCAGGAGGAAGGACCAGGTGGAAGGAGGAGGAGGAGAGGAAAGGAGGAGGAGGGAAGGGAGGAGGCGGAGTTTTTTCGCTGGTAACGAACGCGGTGGGAAGAGGAAAACGAGGAAGAGGAGGACGAGGCGGAGGAGGAGAAGGCGGAGGAGGAGGAAGAGGAAGAGAGGAAGAATGAGGTGGAGGAGGAGGACGACGACGAAGAGGAGGGCGGACGATGACGATGAGGAAGGAAAGGAGGAGAGGAGGCGGATGAGGAGGAGGACGAAGGATGAGGAGGAGGAGGGTAGACGAAGGAGAGGAGAGGATGAAGGGGAGAGGAGGAGGAGAGGAGAGGAGAGGGAGGAGAGGAGGAGGAACGAGTTGAGGAGAAAGAGAAGGGAGAGGAGGAGGAGGAGGAGGAAGAGGAGGAGGAATGGGAGGAGGAAGAGGAAGAGGAGAAGGAGGAGGAGGAGGAGGAGGAGGAGGAGGAGGACGAGGGAGCAGGAGGAGGGAGGACGACAACGACGACAACGGCAGCCCGCGCCCCGCCCGGGGGCTCCCCCGCGCCCGGCGCCGGGCACAGCCTCGCCAAGGCGGCCAGCAGCGACATGGCCGCCGCCGCCCGCGCCGGCCAGCCGGCAGCGGCCCGAGGGGGGGGGGTGGCGGGAGCTGCTCGTCGTCGTCGTCGTCGTCGTCGTCGTCGTCGTCGTCGTCGTCGTCGTCGTCGTCGTCATCCTCCCTCCTCCATCCTCCCTCCTCACTCCTCCCTCCTCCCTCCTCCCCCCGCGCTGCTCGCTCCTCCCTCCTCCCTCCTCTTTCCTCCCTTCTCCCTCCTCCCCTCCCTCTTCCCGTCTCCTCCTCCTTCTCCTCCTCTTCCTCCTCCTCCTCGTCCTCCTCGTCCTCCTCCTCCTCTTCCTCCACCCCTCCTGCCTCCTGCCTCCTACATACCTTCTTCCTCCTACCTTGTCCCTCCAATTTCCTTCTCGTTCCTGCCCCATGTCTTCGTTTAAGCAGAGAGAGAGAGAAAGAGAGAGCCCGTCGGCAGACCACACACACACATTGACTCTGCCACGACCGTGTGGAACACAGCTTCGCCAGACACCTCGGGAGCGCCTCCACAAGTGCTGCCGCTCGTCGCTCGAGGCGTGCGAGTTGCAACGCCGAGACTACGAGGGCACAGTTCGTGACAGAGAGAAGCAGGCGCTCTCACCTCCCCCACGCCCTCGCTCGAGGCTCGAGGCTCGTCGTCGTCGTCGTCGTCGTCGTCGTCGTTGAGGCTCGAGGTGCGCGGCGCCCTCGGGCCGCCCTGGCCTTCCTGGCTCGCAACAGGCCGCCACGGCTGCCTCCGCCGCCTCCGGCGCTGGCCCGAGCGCCGTTAAGGCCGCAACATAGCCGGGTGGCCGCCTTTTCCTCGAAGAAGCGGCCCGGGCCTCCGACGAAGACGAAGCTGGGAGGAGGAGGAGGAGGAGGAGGAGGAGGAGGAGGAGGAGGAGGAGGAGGAGGAGGAGGAGGAGGAGGAGGAGGACGAGGAGAGGGGAGGAGGAGTTTGCGATGCAACCCAAAAGCGGACGAATCAATGCCCCCGCCGCCCTAGGCCAACCGTGCGGACCATCACAG